TTTTCTTGTGCTTATTAGCCATTTGTATATCTTCTTTAGAGAAATATCTATTCAAGTCCTTTGCCCATTTTGAATAGGGTTGTATCCTTTACTGTTGCTGAGTTTTAGAAGTTCTCTGTAGTCTCTGTAGGGGGCCGGCTCCGTGGCTTAATGGTTAAGTGCACACACTCCGCTACTGGCGGCCCAGGTTTGGGTCCTGGGCACGCACCGACACACCACTTGACCAGCCATGCTGAGGTGGCATCTCACAACTGGAAGGATGTGCAACTGTGACATACAACTATCTACTTGGGCTTTGGGGAGAAAAAGGGGAAAAAAAAAAGGAGGAGGATTGGCAACAGATGTTAGCTCAGGGCTGATCTTCCTCACACACACACACACACACAAAAAGAAGTTCTCTGTATATTCTGGATATTAATCCCTTATCAGATAGATGATTTGTTGTGTTTATTTTTTATTTCATTAAGTTTTGTTTTTCTATTTATTCTTCCATCCTTCTACATTCTTTGGGTTTATTTTGCTATCCTATTTTTTAACTTCTTGAGATGATTGCTTAACTTATTACTTTTCAAGCTTTCTTCTTTTCTAATATACACATTTAAGGCTACAAATTTTCCTCTACATACTGCTTTAACTGCATTCCACCAGTTTTGATAGGTAATTTTTTGATATTGTTTAGTTTAAAAATATTTTATAATTTACATTATTATTTATTTTTTGATCCATGGTTTACCTAGTAGTATATTTCCTCATTTCCAAAAATCTTTTTGAGTTGTAGAAAACTGCATTATGATTAGAGATCATACTTTGTATTATTTCTGTCCTTTAAAATTCATTGAGGGCCGGCCCCGTGGCTTAGCAGTTGAGTGCACGAGCTCCTCTGCTGGCAGCCCGGGTTTGCATCCCAGGCGTGCACCGATGCACCGCTTCTCCCGCCATGCTGAGGCCGTGTCCCACATACAGTGACTAGAAGGATGTGCAGCTACGACATACAACTATCTACTGGGGCTTTGGGGGAAAAATAAATAAATAAAAATTAAAAAAATATTCATTGCAAATTTTTGTATATCTCAGTGTATATTTAATTTTTGTAAGTATTCCATGTGTGCTTGAAAAATATATATATTCTATACTTATTGGATGCAGCATTACATATATTGTATTTCATTAAACCTAAGATGCACTTTGTGTTTGTTTGCTAGGGCTGCCTTAACAGAGTACCACAAACGAGGTGGCTTAAACAACAGAAATTTGTTGTCTCACAGTTCTGGAGGTTAGAAGTCTAAGACCAAGGTGTTGGCAGGGTTGGTTCCTTCTGAGGGCTGGAAGAAGAATCTGCGCCATGCCCATCCCCTAGCATCTGGTGGTTTGCCAGTAATCTTTGGTATTTCTTGGTTTGTACAAGCATCACCCCAATCTCTGCTTTCATCTTCACATGACATTCTCCCTGTGTGCCTGTGTCCAAATTTTCCCTTTTTATAGGGCCCACCCTACCCCAGTATGACCTCACCTTAATTAATTACGTCTGCAACTACACTTTTTCTTTCTTTCTTTCATTTATTTATTTATTTATTTATTTATTTATTTATTTATTTATTTATTTATTTCCCCCAAAGCCCCAGTAGATAGTTGTATGTCATAGCTGCACATCCTTCTAGTTGCTGTATGTGGGACGCGGCCTCAGCATGGCCGGAGAAGCAGTGCGTCGGTGCACGCCCAGGATCCGAACCCAGGCTGCCAGCAGCGGAGCGCACGCACTTAACTGCTAAGCCACGGGGCCGGCCCATACACTTTTTCTAAATAAGGTCACATTCTGAGGTACTGACGGTTAGGACTTCAACATACGAATTTTTGAGGGACACAATCCAACCCATAACATACTGTTACTTTATCACCAAAAAGTTTTAAAATGCTGCCAATTAAATTATGACTCAATTCCAGGACACCAATAGTTTCATATATGTACATTTATATATATATATGTATTTATATATATATATATATATAAAATCCTCCTTTCAGAGATGTTAAATGTGAAAAAATCTGTATTTTAGAATTAATGATATGTGTTAATCCCTATTGATATTCTATCAGTTACGGAGAGAGATGTATTCAAATCTACGATTGAGAGTTTTTCTAATTCTCTTTGTAGTGCTCTCAATTTTTCTCTTTTTATATATTGAAGCCATGTTATTAGATGCATATTCAGGATTATTATATTTTCCTGGTGAATGTTACCTTTTATCATTATGCATTAACCCTCTTTATGTCTTAGTGTTACTTTCTGCCTTAAATTCTATCTGGTCTGTTATTAACATAGCTATCCTAGTTTTCTTCTGGTTGTGTTTGTACAGTTTATCTTTTTCCAGACTTTTACTTTCAATCTTTCTGTTTTCTTATGTTCTTTAAATGTCTTGTGGTCAGCATATAGTTAGGTTGCTGCCTTCACCCCCAGCCTCAGCCACGGGGAATTCAGAATGTTTCATTTAAGAGGGAGTGATTAAAGCCAGCCCCTTGCCATGCCCCTCTGGAACACCAGCTTCTCTTCTGAGGCTGGGCCATATTCCTCCTCCCCCATCGCTCTGCAGGCAGGGATGACCTGGGAGGTGGCAAGGTCTCTGGACGGAAGGCTGCTCCTCCGCACGTGGCAGCTGGCCTGGGAACGGCCCACCATGGGCCCTGTGAGTGCTGCTCCCAGCCCCTAGGGTGTCCCTGCTCAGCCTCATGGTGGGCTCAGTGCCCTCACCTCCCTTCAGAGGAGACCAGTGGACCAGGGCCTCCTGGCCTTGGCTTCGGGGTCCCCAGTCTATGTGCTGAGGGACCCCAGGCTGGGGTGTGGATTGGGCTGTCCTGCAGGCTTACATCACAGCCTCCATGTACAGGACCTTCAGGGTCTCGTAGTTAGATTTTTATTTTATTCACCCAGCTTGACAATCTTTGACTTTTTTTTTTGTGAGGAAGATCAGCCCTGAGCTAACATTCACGCTAATCCTCCTCTTTTTGCTGAGGAAGACCGGCTCTGAGCTAACATCTATTGCCAATCCTCCTCATTTTTTTTCCCCCAAAGCCCCAGTAGATAGTTGTATGTCATAGTTGCACATCCTTCTAGTTGCCGTATGTGGGACGCGGCCTCAGCATGGCCGGAGAAGCGGTGCGTCGGTGTGTGCCCGGGATCCGAACCCTGGGCTGCCAGTAGCGGAGAGCGCGCACTTAACCGCTAAGCCACGGGGCCGGCCCCAGACAATCTTTGACTTTTAATTGAAGCATTTAATCCATTTACATTTAATAAAATTACTTATATATTAGGATTTAAATCTGCCATATTATGTGCACATATTCTATGTAATTTCTATTTGTTCTGTATATTCTATTTTCTCTCTTGCCTTGTCTTAAACTTTTTACTTTGATCAACTTTAGATTTATAGAAAAATTGTGAAGATAGTAAAGAGAGTTCCTAAGCCCCACACCCAGTTTCCCATCATTAACATCTTACATTAGTATAGTACATTCGTTACAATTAATAAACCACTACTGATACATTCTTATTAACTAAAGTCCATACTGTATTCAGATTTCTTTGGTTTTTACCTAATATCCTTGTTCTGTTCCAGGATCCCATCCAGGATGGTACATTACATTTAGTTGTCATGTTTCCTTAGGGTTCTCTTGACTGTGACAGTTTTTCAGACTTTCCATGTTTTTGATGACCTTGATAGTTTTGAGTACTGGTTAGGTATTTTGTAGAATGTCCCTCAACTGGGATTTGTCTGGTGTTTTTCTCATGATTAGACCGGGGTTATGAGTTTGGAGGAGGAAGAAAACAGAGGTAAAATGCCATTTACGTAAAATCACGTCATCTCAAGAGTACATACTGTCAACGTGATTTATCATTGACCTTGATCACCTGGCTGAGTTAGCGTTCCTCCACTCTCAAGTCACTCCCTGCCCTGCCCCCCTTCCACACTGTACTCTTTGGAAGAAAGACACGTGTAGCCCAGACTTGAGGAGTGGGGAGTTATCCTCCACCTCGAGGGCAGACCATTTACATAAATTGTTTGGAATTTTTCTGCACCGATTTGTCTCTTCTCACCCATTTATTTATTTGTTCAATTACTTATTTGTATCAGTACAGATTCACATTTATTTATACTTTGGGTTATAATCCTATACTACTTTATTTTTTTTGCTCAAATTTTTCCAGCTTTGGTCATTGGGAGCTCTTTCAGTTGGCTCTTCTGTCCCTTTCACATGCCCCATCATTGTGGGTTTTTTTAAATCACTTCCTTACTTTTTGTTTGTTTGTTTTTTGAGGAAGATTGGCCCTGCACTAACATCTGTTGCCAATCTTCCTCTTTTTCTTTTTTCTCCCCAAAGCCCCAGTACATAGTTGTATATCATAGTTGTAGAGTTGTAGCCTCAGCATGGCTTGATGAACAGTGAATAGGTCCGTGCCTGGGATCCGAAACGGTGAACCCTGGGCCACAGAAGCAGAACGTGAACACTTAACTGCTACTCCACCGGGCCAGTCTCCACTTCCTTACCTTCTGGCACTACAGGATGCTCCATGCACATCTTGTCTATTTCCTGCCCCAGTCCTAGAACCCAAGAAGACCAGGTTCCTTTTACTGAAGAATGGTATTAGAAACCACTATCTAGGCACTGGGTGTGCTTGTTGCCACTAGGTGTCATTACTCTTTCCAACACGTTTCATACATTCCTCTCCCAGCCCTGCCCTGTCCTATTGGAGGGTGTGTGTGTGTCTGATATCTTATGGTCTGGGGATTGGGAATGGAAGAATGCACTCCTTCCCATTCCTAAACCACAAATTATAAATATTCCCATGATCAGTTACCCCTCAACCTTCAATGTTTTATAACACCTGTGGTAACTGAACCCAGTTTCATATTCCTCTAGATCCCACTTTATAAAAACCCTCTAAAACAAAGAAGTTGTCTTCAGCCAGCCTCCTCTCCCCCCAGAAAACAAACACCAAGACACCCTCACAACGAAGACCACGCCATTTATTTACAAAGGCCGGTGTGGGAGTTGGGGGAGGGAAAGCCACACAGACATTCTCTCTGGATTGCTTGGGACCCTTTCCCACTTGGAGAAAATTCTGTTCCTCTTGCCTCCATATTCTCAGCCATGGGTCCTCCAAGCAGCTCAGCTAAGTAGCAGAGAGAGGACGTGATATCGTGATATGAGCCTCCTCTGTGCTCCAAGAGAGCAATGTCCAGTTCCAGATTAAAGTCATCATTGCCACCCTCTCCTTTGCTTCCTCAAATAGAACTTTCTGGCCTGGAGGGAAATAATGAAGAACTCAAAGGGCAGGGACTAGGATGCCAAAGGCCAGGGGCTCTAGGGGGTAAGACCCCTCTACTATTCCCTGAAAGCAAGAGGGGAGGGGTGACAAGGGTCACCACCCTGGCAGCTTCAGAAGGGGTACCCACACTACCCTTGGGTTACCCAGCATCCAGAGGCCCACAGGACCTAGCTCTCTGGGCTGTATGTATTCCTGCCCTAGACTGGCCCTTTTGCTTACTTCTCTCTGGTGGGAGAGAGCTCTGAACCAGAGATCAACAAAGAATCCACCCTCCTACTCAATTCACATGCACGTGTATGCTTGCGTGCATGCATGCAGCCACCCACCCAACCACACACACCCACTGCTGAGAAAGACCCCAATCCCCTTCATGTCTTTTGAGGGGGGCTCAAATCACTAGCATCTGGGGACACAGGCAGGTCCTGGGTTCATGGAAATGTGTGTGTGAGTGTGTATATAAGCATGTGTTTGAGGAAACAGAGCCAATACGACCCCTTGGAGCCATATCACTTAGCTTCATTGAGCCCCTTTCTTCAACTCAAGTTCCATTAGCATCTCTAAGTCTCCTCTGCCAGGCCTGAGCCTGGACTCTCCTGCCTAAAAGAGCTCTTAGTGCTTCCGCTCCCCAATTGTCAACTCCAACTTCTAAGCCTTTTACTCAGGCTGTTTTCTCCATTCCCTTCTTCCAGAAAAATCTCATTCCCTCCTCCTCTCACCAACCTCCACTGGGCTGGTCCAGGGCTTGTTAATTCCCTGTCCAGAGGGCTGTGTCTCATCTCCCCCTTCAGACAGGGAGAACAGGCATCTTCTTCCCACTGGAAGTTGCAACAGACCCCACGAAAAAGTGCTAAATGAAGTGACCAGAATAGGGGGTGAGAAGGAAAATCATAGCCTGTTTCCCCTGCCTCTCCTTCAGAGCATGAAATTCTAGCATTGGTTAGGTGGAGGTGGGAGGGGATGAGAGGAGAGAAAGAAGGAAGAGAATTACCCAAAGCAAACATAAGACAAGCAAAACCCTAGTGGGACAGATGGAAGACTCTGTTTCAGTAAACCAGATAGCTGGCTCCTCCTTCAACTCTGCACTGCCAGTGAGAAGTTTGAAGATTGCAAAAGGTGGTTTGGGGCATGGAGGTGGGGCCAATCGACAAAACTGAATTGTTTAAACAGCTCTGCTCAAGCAGGACCAGGAGAGAAGATTCTGTAAGAGATGTAGAAGTAAAGCCAAAATTCTCAGACAGAGCTACGGGGTTGGGGCCCATGCCTCTACAGTCACCCTGCTGTCTGGAGAGGACCAGGGAGAAGACAGAAGGGCTGACAAGCTGTAGAGAGTAGGGACTGACAGAGGAACCAAATGCTGGCGTCCAGGGAAGGGAGAGGCAGGAGGCATGGGCCCAGGGGTTAGGAGAGCTGAGAGCCCAGGAGTCTCTCGATAGCTGCGTTGATGTCCCCTCCTGTGGCAATCAGGGCCTGCAGGTTGGCCTCACGATTGATGAAGCCCATGGAGTTGAGCTGCTCCAGCTGCTGCTGAAATCTCACTTCTGGCGTCTGCACCTGGAGGGGACAGGTCTTGTGAAGTGGGCACAGGACCAACCTCGGGGGGGCCTATCTGGATCTGAGAGTTTATAATGGAGAGAAGACCAGTAGGTCTTCTCAAACATCCTCAAAGTCAGCCAGTGGGGCAGGGAGGGGTGAGCTGCAAACAAGGGCCAAGGAGCCTGTGTCCCAAGTCACTAAACCACTGTGTAATAATAAGGCGGGGGTATCTTTCTTAAAATTTCAAAGTAACAGGCCTAGATTAGCCTATATTCCTAACTGCTTTCCATCAACACTCTGGAGATGTTAACACGCACTCCAAAAGCCAAATGCTCTGTGGTTGATAAGATGCTTTGATTTGGATAAGATGTCCTGACTGCCTCCAAACCCCTCCTGGCAGTCATCACACAGGTAGCGATAGTAAAGGCCAGAGAAGGGCCCCAGGAAAGAAAGAACCTGTTTAATTTTGTTTAACCAATCAACAAACACAGTTTCACAAATGAGAAGGCTTTTAATTTTTGACACTCCTATAAACATCTCCTAGAATGTTTTCCCAAGGGATGTTTAGAAGCACTAGCCTAGTTCAGGAACGGAAGGCTCAGAGCTGGAAGGAGCCCAGCAATCACAGGCCACCTGGCCGCTGACAGGGGGAAAGTGAGCTCCAGAGAAGGAAAGGACCTGCCAAGGGTCACAGAGCAAGTCAGTCACAGAGGTCCCTGACATGCAGTACAACAACCCTCTCCTGGGCTCCGTGCTGCTCCTCATTAGTCCACAGCATTGAAGCTGGACTGGGCCTTGGCGATCACTTGGTCCAGCTCTCTCAGGGCCGTGCACAGAGTGGGGCACTTACATTTCTGTTGAAAGGCTTTACCCAGATGAGTCACAGAGGCCAGAGAAAAGTTAAGGGGTTCACCCAAGGCCACCTCTGCTCCTCCCCCAAACCCCTGGCCTTGACTTGTGGCCCAGGGCTCTAGTCACCTCACCTCCCAGAGTCCTCCTCTCCAGTCTCAGAGATGGAGGCTGCTTTAATTATCAAAAGAATCCTTTGATATAAGCAGAAGTGTTATAACATAGTGGCAAAAAGAGTAAATTCTGAAGCCAGCATGCCTTGATTCGAATCTTGGCTCCAGGGGCCAGCCCTGTGGCGTAGCGGTTAAGTGTGCACGCTCTGCTGCTGCCGGCCCGAGTTTGGATCCCGGGCGGGGACCAATGCACCGCTTGTCAGGCCATGCTGTGGCAGCGTCCCACATAAAGTAGAGGAAGATGGGCATGGATGTTAGCCCAGGGCAAGTCTTCCTCAGCAAAAAGAGGAGGATTTGCATGGATGTTAGCTCAGAGCTGATCTTCCTCACCAAAAAAAAAAAAGAATCTTGGCTCCACAACTTACTAGCTATGTGTCTCTGAGCAAGCCACTTAACCTCTCTGGACCTCAGTTTTTCCCTTTTGTAACAAAGAAATAATAACAATAGCTTCCTCACAAAGCTGTTGTGAGGAATAAAGCATAATGAGCTCTTACACAGAAGGCATATAGAAGAGTACCCAGCACCTGGTAAATGCTATTTCTATTCTCATCTCCATTTTACAGCTGCGGAAACTGAACTTTGGGAAGGTTGGTAACTTGCCCAAGGCTAGAGAGTGGCAGACCAGATCTAATGCCAGGTCGGGCTGACGCCAAAGCCTGCTCTGCTGTCTCCATTCTACTGCCACCCTTAACACCACCAGGATGCAAGTGGGGGTCCCACTGCCAGCCCTGCTGCCCCATGTACCTGTGAGTTTCCACTTCCAGCCAAAAGCTGGATCATCTGTTGCATGAGCTGCTGCTGAGCACTGGAAGCCCCTGTTGGAGAAGACGTGGTTGGTGGGGCTGGCGAGGAGGTGGGGGCCTCGGGTGCAGAGCCGGCGTTGCTGCCTGCCGAGGGTGCTGGGGTCCGGGACATCCCAAAGGAGCCAAGGCTGCAGGCAGGAGAGACCAAGAAGTGGGAGATGGCCTCTGAGAAAGGGATGGGAACGTGAGATCCGGAAGGAAAAGCGGTTGGAGGACACAGGAAAACAGACCCTCAGAGACACAATGGCTGCTCAGAAAGTGGCAGAGGGAGGTCAAAGGGGAGGAAGAGCCAGAACCTTGCTGCCCACCTGTCCCCAACCCTCACCTGGGTACCAGCCCGGGGGCCTCGGTCTGCAAGGTCTGCAGTCCCTGCTGGATCTGCAGCAGCGCCTGCATGGCGCGGGGATTGGTAAGGATGGAGAGCGACTCCGGGTTCTGCATCTGGTGGGAAACGAGCAGAGAAAGGCACCCGGAGGTGGCAGGACACGAGAGGCAGCCTAAATCCTGAGTCCAGAGCCGAGCTCTGCCCCCTCCCTTAAGTTCCACCCATTGGGCTTCAGGGTCCACCTGCTGCCCTCAACCTCCACCCCGCACTCACCTGCTGCAGGAAGACCGGGAGCTGCAGGCGGAGCTGCTCCTGCAGCTGGGGGTTCCCCGCGAAGAGCGGCACGTTCACCATCATCTGCCAGGGTGAAGGGAGTAGGGGGAGGCCTGGGCCTACCCACCCTAAGAATTCCCCTACAGCCTCAGTCTCCCTCAGCACCCCTACCACTGTAGGAAATCTGGCCAGCTTTTCCAAAGTATCCTGAAGGCCTAGGTGGGACAGCGAGAGGAAACAGAACTACACTCTGGGCAGTGATGAGTTTCAGGAGCCAGGCTGCTCAGCCCTGGTCTGAAGAAGATGATAGCTAACATTTCCGAGTACACAGTGCTTACTATGTGCCATGCCACGTTCTTGCACTTTGTATGTATTAACTCATTTAACCCTCACAACTCTATGAGGCAGGAACTACTGTTATCACCACTTTACAGATGAGGAACTGGGAGGTTAAAGAACTTGCTTAGCTTTCACAGCTAGGAAGTGGCAGAGCGTGAGAGCTAGGGAGCGGCAAAGTTGGAGACACAAACCCAGGCAGTCTGGCTCCAGAGTGCTTTGACCACAAGTAACTGCCCCCAACATTTCCCCTTGTGCCAGTTCCATACCTGAGCAGCAAAGTCGGGGTTCTGTGCGAGCGTCTGCATCATGCTCCGCATGTAGGGGGCTGAGATTACGTTCTGCATCAGCTGGGGGTTCTCAGAGATCTGCTGGAGGAGGGCCTGCATTTCCGGGCTGTTGAACATCCCTAGGACAAGGAGGAAAGAACAAACACAACAGGAGAAAAGGGGTCCAGATGGTAACCAGCTGCCTCACTTCAATCTACCTTACTTCAGACCCTGAGAGGTGACAAAACTCAGAAAGACAACAGTAAAATGGGCCCTCAAGTACTGGGGTGTGGGTCCATGTCTCTCCTGACTCCAAGGCCATCTCGCTCTGCCTTGGCCTGGCCCCTTTCCCATCTACTCTGCTAAGGACAAGCCAGTTGGAAACTGGGTCTGATTCATGCCCCTCTGGACTGTTTCAGCCACAAGCTCAGATAATGTCAGAGTTGGAAAGGATTTGACTAAAGATCACCTAGATCAATGGTTTTCAAACTTGTCTTAGCTGCAGAGACCGTTTCCTCAAACCAAATATTACTCAGAAAGCAAGTATGTCAATGGTCTGGTTGGAGCTGGGGTAGGAAGACTGGAACCTCTCCTATTTGGTCCTCCCTCATCCTGGAGATGGTCCAGACCCCCCAGGACGCAGGAGCACAATTTTAAAACCATGGATCAGCTTCAAGTCCCTTATTTTATAAATAAGGGAACTGAAGCACATAGAGGGGAAGGGACTGTCCCAATCAAGGTGTCCCCCAGAGTTCAGAGAAATCAGGGCATCTACCAATGACATCCCCAGGGTCACCTATATAGTCATAGTCCAGATAAATGGGGCATCCCCCAGGGTTATGCAGTGCATAGTCTGCACTTCTGTACACGGCAGCTCTGCACATCCTTCTCCCCCAGCCTCACATCTGCCTGTCCCCAGGTCTGCCCTGATTCCTTTCCCACACCACCCTCCCCAGTCTGACCCATTTATACTGGATAGTACCAGCAGTGCTGAAAGAGCTTAGGAGGTGGGGCCTGGTTTATTCATGAGCCATTACTTAGGTCACTGTCAGGGACATCAGGACATGGCCAGACCAACTCTCACCCCCTAGAGGTGGAGCCACTACCCCAGGCTGCAGAGCCCCCTCTGTGGCTTCAATTACATTCTCACCTCTGTCTTCAATATTCTGGAGCTATGTGAACCCCATTCAGTCCTGGGGCAGAGGGACTGCCCTGGTGACCCCACTAAGCTCCTTCCACCCTAGGACATACCTGACCCCAGGCTAGCCGCATTGATCCCAAAGGGGTTCGAGACTGTCGGGTGCACCTGGCTGGTCCCCGATCCTCCGGTGCCCTCCCCACCGGACCCGGGGGCCTGGGAGGTGGGGGGCGAGGGGCTCCAGGGGTTAGGGAGGGGCTCTCGATTCTCAGTCCGCAGAGGCTGGGAGGACGAGCTGTCGGAGTTCCCGGCCAGGGAAGAGAAGGGATTGTTGCCAAACTGGGAGGAGGGAAAGGTTTTGGGTTAAGGACTGAAACAAATCAGGGACAAGGGCTAGGCCCTTTCTTTCCTCTCACCTAATAGCCTCCCCTTCCCCAGGAAAGGGAGAGAGACCTAAGACCCTGGAGGGGAGAAGGAGCTAGGACCTTGGAGGGGAGAGGGAGCTAAGACCCCGGAGGGGAGAGGGAGCTAAGACCTTGGAGGTCCTCAGCTCAATTTGTGGCCCCACAATGGGCAGCTCCACTCTCATCCTTCAGGGTGGCAACTGGCTGATGCTAATGACTAGATAACTGAACCCCTCAGATAATTGGAAACTTCCCATCTCCCCTAGTGCTTCTAAGTATTTGGTCTCTAGTTTCCTGTGCCCCATAGTACTTTACACCAACTTTCCCAGTGTGTAGCGAGGTATTCGTTTTCCTCAGCTCTTAAGGGGCAGAGACAATGTCTGGTTCACCTTTGTATCCCTCCCCTTCCCTCCTGCCCCTGACACTAGTAGGTGCTCAATAAGTAATGGCTGGCTTGATGGGAGCTGGCTCTGTACTTCAACCCTCATCTGCCTCTAGCTTCCCGCTTTCCAGCCACCTGGGTCCAATACTAACTCCCCAGAACCCTCTCCCTCACTCCCCAGGTCCCCTAAGTGGCATTCTGTCCATCCAGGCACACCAATGGAGCCCCTTAGTGGAGCACATCTCTGGCTGAGCACGCCCTCCCTGGATCTTCTCCTCCTTCTCCTCTCTCCCCCTAGCCTATCTCCTCGAACTGGCTGCTTCAGCTAAGCAGTCCCCCTCAGCACCAGGCCCCCCACTGTGTCACCGAGCATTGTCTCAGGGTCCGCACCCCATCATGTGGTGCGCTGCCCAAGGTGGACCTGAACCTCCTTCCTCTGGACCCGCCAGCATCCAGGAAAGAGCTCTGTCCAAGGGGCGCTTGCTGATGGAGTCCCAGACCCTATTTCCCTAACTTAGCCTCCTTCCCCTGAGTTCCCAGGCAGTCTTGACCTAAGCAGGAGGTAGCTGAGTAGCCTCAGCCCCTCCCCACCATGGGGTTTCATATCCAGTCACTTTTCCTGTTTATTCAAAGCAGGTCATGGGGACCTGGGCTGACCAAGGACTCTCCTGCTCTGAGCTGTGGTTCCTTTGCCTTACCAGATGCCTGTTCAGATAACAGGGCTTGCAGGCCAGGATTCATGCACCACAGTTTCAGTCTTTCACCCTGCTTCAGATTTCCTGTTCTCATATCTTGCCTTGCACCCAACCCCATCTAGTTCTGGGTCTTACTTCGTTCTCCCTGGTGTACCCTAAGGACTGAATCGCTTTTCCTCAACTCCCCATAGGTATACCAGCTGCCATTTACTGAGCACCTACTGTGTGCCTGACACATTTATTCTCATGTTTACAATATCCCTCTAATACACCAGTTCTCAAAGTGTGGTCCTAGGACTCCTGCAAGGTTTAAAACTGTTTTTATAATTCTAAGATGTTGTTTGCCTTTTTCTCTCATTCTCGCATGAGTATTCAGTGGAGTTTTCCAAAGGCTACATAACGTGTGACACTGCAATGAACTTAATGCAGAAGCAGATCTGAGAATCCTGCTGTCTTGTAGTAAGCCAGACATTAAAGAGATCTGCAAAAATATAAAACAAGGCCATTTTTTCCTCTAAAGTTTTGTTCTGGAAAATAAAGTTATTTTTCAAAAGAATACGCTATTTATGTTCACGTGTAATGGATTTATTGTTATTTTTAAATGAATTAATAAATACTTTTTTAAATTTCTGTTTTAATTTCAGATGCAGTGAATATCGATAGATCTAACCACAAAAACTTCCTCTTTAGGATCCTCAGTAATTTTTAAGGGTATAAAGGGATCTTGAGACCAAGATGATCAAGAACCACTGCTATAATATATTGTCTCCATTTTGAAAATGAGGAAGCTAAGACTTAGAGAGGTTAAGCAACGCGCTTAAAATCACACCACTAAAATATAGTGGAACAGGTATTTGAACCCAGGTTTGCTGATGCCAAATGCTATGTTCTTTTAGCTAAACCAGTGGTTCTCACACCTACGTGTGCATCAGAATTACCTGGAGCGCTTTTTATAAGCCTTTCTCAACTACTTGATTTTTTTTTAACCAAGTGCATGCATTAGTTTGATATACATTTTTAATTAAATACCTGAATAAAATAAAATTTAAAATAAACAAATAAATTCCTTTAAAAATTCATAGTTGATCCCTACGAGCACTGTCTAAAATCTGAAAGAGCAATGCCAAGAATAACCAAGATGATGCTGAAGAATAAGGCGGGGGATTCACTCTACCAGATGCCCAGACTTAATTAGGACAAGGTGGTATCATCGCAGGGACAGACACACACACCAGTGGGACTGAGTAGAGTCAGCAAGACACACACTCATTTGTGGAGACCTGGTGTAGGACAGAGACGGCACAAACAAGGAATCCATTGGGATAACACAGGTCACTCAGAATATGGCGCTTTTTCCTTTCCACAGGAAAAAGCCATGCAAGAGCCCACCCTCCCACCTGGGCGCTGGTTAGGGGGCTGTGCGCTCAGTTTGTGATAATCCATCAAGCTGTACATTTCTGATATGTACACCTTTCTGTCGCTATATTATTCTTCAATAAAACATTTAAAAAATGTTTTTAAAAAGCAATTTAAAAATCATATGAACAGCATACCACTTCTAAATGTTGAAAAATATGCAGAACAATATTATAAATTATTTATGGGTACATACATAGGTAATAAAAGGATCAAAATGGTAGTTAGCTAGGAGAAGTAGAGAACCTAGGTAGCTCAGGGTGGTAGTTAGCTCTGGAGAGGGAGAGGGGTATAAGGTGGAGGAGGGGTACGTGAAGGCTGCGATTCTATCTGTAGTGTCTCATTTGCAAATATTAAATATGTTTAGGAAAAAAACCAAAATACTAACAATATTCGTTACTTCTGGGATAGAAAAGAGGTGGCTGGGAGACAAAAATAGAAGGATCCATTTTGTATACCTTTCCATTCTTTTTAATACCCTTTTTTTTTGTTTGTTTTTTTGTTGTTTTTTGTGAGGAAGAGCAGCCCTGAGCTAACATCCAGTGCCAATCCTCCTCTTTTTGCTGAGGAAGATTGGCCCAGGGCTAACATCTGTGCCCATCTTCCTCTACTTTATATGGGAGGTCGCCACAGCATGGCTTGACAAGCGGTGCACTGGTGCGCACCAGGGATCCGAGCCTGCAAACCCTGGGCAGCCAAAGCGGAGCACGTGCACTTAACCACTGCGCCACCCGGCCGGCCCCAGTACCCTTTTGTTTATTTGTGTACCTTTTGAATTTTGAAATATGTAAATATATAACATATTTAATGTAAATTAAACTTTAAAAAAGAACCAAAAAGGCACTGAATGGCAACACGTTAGAGCAACATGGGTACAAGAGAATGCTCTATTTTTATCTATACTTTTTGTCTATTTGGAAAGAATTCATAAAGCATTTTTAAAAGTGCATATTCCCAGAGCCTGATTCCAGGGATTGATTCAATAAGTAGCTCAAAGGTGAGGACGAGGAATCTCATTATTAACAACCTCCCCAGGTGATTCTGATGCAGGTGATCCATGGGCCACACTTGAGACACACTGTGCTAGGCTCGGCTGTTTGACCCCAGATCTGCCTCACAACCTTTGAGCCCCTGGTGCAAGAAATCTGTCAGAACAACAGTCAAATTCCTTGGACACTACACCTCGCCCACTTCCCTGAGGAACTCTGCCGTCTTCTGCCCTAGTGCCTCAGTCCCATGCCAAGTTGGACCATCCCTGGCTATGCACTGTGAGAATTGCTCTCAAGCCAAGGTCTTCCCTTAGGGGGCTGGGGAAGGAAAGAGGAGCGGACAGCACCCCAGGCTTGCCTGGGTCTGGGGGAAGGGAATCCCGAGCCCAGACAGCCCTCCCACTGCCCCCATCCCTGGCCCCACCTGTTCCCGGGCAGCACTGAACATGGGCTCCTGGATGTCTGTGTACATGCGGCGGAGGGCATTATACCCTCCGGGGATGCTCTCCAGGTTGCTCAGGGCCCGGTCCTGGTTCCGCATCATCTCCTGCATCATGGCTGGATTCCGAGCAAGCTCCATCGTCTAGTGGAGAAGGGAGAGAGACAGAATGGGCCCTGGAACCAGGGGAGCACCAAGCTTGGAAATGCGTGGGCCCTGAGGAAGGGGTCTGCATCAGGACCAGGGCCCAGGGCCCAGGAACTGCCCCACAGTGGCAGGGAGTAGGTTGAACTGGGCTTCCTTTCTCTACTGTCCGTCATCTTGGCTCCAACCCTGCATCCTTGTGGGTATTCTGGTTGGCTTTTTCTAGTGGAGAACAATGATCCCAGATGGGGTGAGGGCAGAAGCTTCGCTCCCTCAGGTTCAGGGGGTCCTCAGAAGTGTCAGGGAGCACAAGGAAATTGAGTAAGAAAAGACACAAAAAAGGGGAGGAGGCAGAAGAGAAAATTAACATCTACAAACTACATATACTACACACAGGCACTGGACTAAGCAATTTACAGAATTCAAGTCATTTAATCCCCATAATAACCATCCCCAGGAGGTATTTCTGTCACTACTCTGCAGATGAGAAAATAAGCTCAGAGACTCACAGCCTGGGGGACACACAGCCAGTTAGTGCAGGAGCCAGGTTTCAAGGCCAGGTTGGTCTGTCTGATCAAGGCCATACTGTGGAGCCTGGTAAATGACCACAGTCGGGGAGGGAAAGGATTCAAGCTGGGACAATGCTACTGACACTCTCAACACCGCCCCCCAGGTCTTGGCCTGACTGAATCTTGAGAAACAGTGAGGATGGGGGCTTTCTTTTTGGAGCTAATGGCTCACTCTCAATTAGGGGTGGCCTGTGTCAACTCCAGGGGACAGACAGCAGTGCATGATAGAAAAAATGGGCACAGCTACTTCTTGTCCTCAGGCAACCTGGAATGCTTCCCCTGTCCTTCTTCCCAAATTTGCTCCACACTTCCCTCTTCTAAGACACCTTTACGTCTAAGACAAGACTCTGATCTCTTATCCCCTGATTCATTCACTCAATAAGTTTTTTTTTTCTTTTGTGAGGAAGATCAGCCCTGAGCTAACATCCATGCCCATCTTCCTTCCTTTATGTGGGACGCCACCACAGCATGGCCTGACAAGCGGTGCGTCAGTGCGCGCCCAGGATCCGAACCTGGGCTGCTGGCAGCGGAGCGGGCGCACTTAGCCACTATGCCATGGGGCCGGCCCCTTGATAAGTATTTACTGAGTGACAACTATGTACCAGGCACTGTTCTAGACAGTAAACAAAACACTTGCAAATCCTTGTTCTTACGGAACTTATCTTCTAGTAAATCCAGCACTAGCTCTACTGAGATTGTCTATCCTTGTCTCCCCGTGGATTGGGCCGAGACGGAGCTCCCAAAGACCAACACAGAACTGCGTCCCCTGGGTCTCCCTCACCCACCCAGCCCTGCCCAGCACAATGCTCCCCGAACATCCTACTGTCTTTTACTCCCAAGCCTTTGTACTTGTTGTCCCTCGGCCCTGAACACTCTTCTCTTTTTCTTCCTCTGGTTCATTCTTCCTTCTTTGGGTCTCAGCTTGGGTGACACTTCCTCTAGGAGGCCTCCTCTGAGCCCCAGGGTAGAGTCAGGGGCCCTTTTCTGTGCTCCTAGGGGATGCTGTGACTATCTCTATGATAGCACCAATCCTGCTGTATTATAATTGCCTGCTTACTTGTCCCACTTCCCTTTGAGACCATAAGTTCTTGGAAAGCTAGGCCTGTGTCTTTCCATCACTGTACCCCCAGTGTGCAAAACACGGCTGCTGAATGACTGAATCAACAGTTCAAGTTAGGACAAGGTGGGAAAATGCTAGGCAGGGCAAGGCTGGGTGCCAGGTGTCCTCCACCACCCACCCCTCCAACCTTCTCTCAGACCCACCTGCCTCATGAGCTCGGGGTTGTTGAGCATGTGGCTGATCTCGGGGTTCCGCTCCATCAGCTGCTGCATCTGGGGGTTGGCCATGATCATGTGACGCATCAGGTCGGGGTTAGACATCATGTCCTGGACCAGGGGGTTCTCCATGATCTGTGACAGCATCTCGGGATTGGACATGAGCTGCCTCTGCATCTGCTGCTGCAGTTCCATGAAGTTGGCAGAGCCCAGGCCCAGGCTGCCCAGGCCCAGGATGCCCCCAAAGCCAGCTGTGGGGAGGGGGCAGCGTCACAGTCTGCTGCAAGAGCCCTTCCCCCACCTGGCCAGAGCCACTGAATTCAGGTCTCTGGGACAGGCCCCCTTTGCTTCTCACATCATTCCCACAGCCCCAGGCCTGATCCACTGCTGGAAAGAGATGTAAGCCTACTAGACTGAGAGCTCTTTGATGGCAGAGACTGAGAGCCGGGCAGAGTATTGAGCACAGAGAGGGCAACCAGTGATGGCCTGTTGAATGAGTAAATAAATATTCCCCAACTGGCTACGGTTAGACCCACTTTTTCCCCAAACTCCAATATCCTCACCCAAGGTTCCCCACATCCCCAGCCCCATTTCTCCCTTCACTCTCAACATTTAGCCATGCTCCTCTCCTCAGTGAAGCACTCACAGACTGGTTTCCTCCCCTACTTGGCTCAAATACCAATATCTGGAATTCTATGTCCAGGGGTCTCCTATCCCCACCAGACCAGGAACAAGGACCATGTTTTTGGCTCCTCTTGGCTCTCTCCCACTCCCCAGCCCAAAACAGGACTGTGCCCTCCTCCCTAAGGGCTTACAGAGTATGGATGCAGTAGCACTGGGAGGTCCCTCCCCAGCCCCTGGGGAGGGACCCCCCCCACTGCTCCTCCGGCTTCCACTGCCAGCATCTGAAGTGGCACTGCCAGAGGTAGAGGGCTGGGCAGGGGTGGCGGGTGAAGCAGGCGTGGTGGAGGGTGCTGAGGCAGGGTCTGGAGTGGAGGGGGAAGAAGCAGTGGCAGCAGCTGGATCTTGAGCCCTGAGGACAGAGAAAGACAAGTCCTAGGTGAAGTGATCACAAGAAGAGCGAAGACAACAATCTAGAGTTTGCTGGGCAGCTACTGCCCTGACCTAAGCCACCTCCTCTGCAACCCTGAGGCGGGGGTGGGATGATGCCAGGGACACAGTCAGTGAATCAGACAGAGGGAGGGAGGGAGAAGTTAGTATCTTCTGTCTTCAGGGCATTCTGGGAGAGGTACGTCAGGTTCCTTCCCCTGGAGGGAGACCACAGGGCTGTCCAGCAATCCATCCAAAAGCCACCTTCATAGGCCAGTGGCATAGGCCCTCTAGGTACAGTTGAGTGACAGGTGAGAAAGTATCAGATGGGGAAAAGAAGCCCAATCAGAAGTTGGACCTGCTCCTCTCCTGAACTTACTTCTGAGGGGTTTTGATGACCAGATGGACAGTGAGCCCATCTTTGATCCCATGCTGGTTCAGTGTGTCCCCATCCTTGAGGATCTTGCCTGCGAAGATCAGGACCAGCTGATCCTGCTGAGCCTTAAACCTCCTGGAGATTTCCTCTTTGAACTGTGATCAAGAGGCAGAGGTCACTATGGAGGCTGCCTGGGCTCCACCCACCAGACACCCTGCCTCTTCTTCAAAAGCCTCTGGGGCCAGCCCGGTGGCTTAGCGGTTAAGTGCGTGCGCTCCGCTGCTGGCGGCTGGGGTTCGGATCCCGGGCGCGCACCGGCGCACCGCTTATCTGGCCATGCTGAGGCCACGTCCCACATACAGCAACTAGAAGGATGTGCAGCTATGACATACAACTATCTACTGGGGCTTTGGGGGAAAAATAAATAAATAAAATTATAAAACAAAACAAAACAAAAGCCTCTGCATGCCCTTGCTCCCAACGCTAGTCCTGGGAAGTCCTTTCTGCAGTCTCAACTCCATCCCTCCAGCTGCAATAAGCAGCTCCTTTGTTAACCATGGAGATGGACCAGTGAGAGGCTCCCCTCTCAGCTCTACCCCAGGGCCTCTCACCCTAGAAAGCTCTTGCTGCTATCTGCCACTCCCTCCTCAGTCCCTCCACCAGTCCCCTGTGAGGGTGCTGCCTTGGGCAGCTCTCTGCATCCCAGTTCCTTCAACAGCCTTGGACCCACACCTTGTCTCCCTTCAGCATTCTCTTCTCAGACTCCAAATTTCTCTCCTCCTTTTATTTGCAGCGTTCTTGTAACAACTACAACAAACAGATCACTAACTATTCACGAGTTAAGAGTCTAAGTCCCATGAAATACATATTAATTATTATCTCCATTTTAAAGATGAGAAAACTGAGGATCAGAGCAGTTAGGTAACTTGCCCCGGGGAGAATGAAACTCAGGTCTTGATGCCAAATCCTAGGCTCTTAACGAAACACACTGCCTCTCAATTAGAGCTGATTACAAATTCAGTTTTGCAGGGAAAAGTATTTAAATTCCGGAATGTAGTCATTTTCTAAAGGTGGGGGCAGCGATGGCACAAAAGACTGGCTTGGGGAGAGTTAGACTCCCCAAATCTATCAGCCCCTCCTAAAACAAAACAAAACAAAACAAAACATACACTCTAAGTAAAAACAGTGCACTTGCTGAGCAAAGGGAGCTTCCAGATCCCTCCCTTCCAACCAGATGGCCTATCTCAAGCCCCGCCTATGTGAAATTCTGGAGAAGCCACAGGGGGGTGGAACACAGGCAATATTCCCTCATTCACTCATTCAACATATTTTTATTGAGCACCTACTGCACACTGTAAATCCCAGAGGGGCTTAGAACCAAATGTAACCACCTTGATTGGAAAGAGTAGGAAGGATCTGGGCAGAGGGAATCCTCCCCCCGCCGCCCAGGCGTCAGAGAAGGCAGGGGCGTTCTCTGGGGCACAGTAGGCGCCCGGAGCTCTCCGCCGGCGCCCCTCGCCCGCTCTCCTGGCTCAGCACCTTGCCCGGCCCCAACTCTGCCTCGGTGCCTCGAACCCCGACCAGTAACCGGGACGCACACTACCCTCAAACCCAGGGTCCTTCCCCCTTCCCCGTGCAAGGTGTCTCCTTCCCACACTCCACCACGCCCCCAGCCCAGGCCACAAGGCAAACCCCGGCCTCCCTTCCCCAACACGCGCCACGCTCCCCCAGATTACCCTCGCAGGACGCCCTCAACCCTCCTCTGCTTCCCTCCCGCTCCTCCGAGCGCCTGCTGGGCCCCCGCCCTCCTCTCCCTGGCCCTCCGGTACACCCGACCGTCTCTAAGCCACCCCCTCTCTTCGCAGACCCCTCCTTCGCGCTCCCCTCACCCCCCGCCACCCTTATTACCTCCTTGACCGAGGCTCGATCGCAGATCACAATTTCCTCCTTGTCTTTGGGGGTCTTGACGGTGACCCGAATGGGGGGCCTCGTCTCGGCCCCGCTCGGCTCCGCCATGCCGCCGCCGCCACCCGGCCGCCCGCCAGCCCTCCCCGGCTCCTCCTCCTCCTCCCCGCCCGCCCGGCCGGCCCGGCTCCGGCGCCTCCAACCCTCCCCTCTCCCCTCCCCTCCCTTCCCCAAGGCTTCGTCGCCCCCTCCGGACCCGCCGCAACCACAGCGCCCCGGGCGGACCGGGGGGGGCACTGCAGCGGGGTCCGCCCTAGGCCGAGCCCGGGGTCCGGCAGCCTGGACAGGGCCTCGCTGGGGGGTGGCCCCTGGAGGGGCTCGGGGCGGGGGCGGGCGAGTCCTTCATTGTGGGGTCGGGCGCGAGCTCCCCGCGAGAGACCACCGCCCATCCTAGCCGGCCCGAGCCGCGCTGAGGTCCCCTCCGGTCCAAAGCGGCCCCCGCCCCCTCCGCGGGTAACTCCTGCTCCGGGACAAAGGACTTTCTGTATCGTCGCTTTATCTCCGTTCACTGTGATAACTGGTCTTTCTCGGGAAGCCCAAGTCCTTTCCAGATCTGAGGCCTCTCCCGACTTGGAGGTTGGATTTTCCCACTTCTGGACGTCCACCTAAGATCTCATTTCTAGGATTGACTCTATTCTCCCAAAGGTCGTGGCCTGAATGAAGCCTATTAAGTACGGTTTCAGAGACCTGGGTTTTGCATACATGGCCTTTCTGAACCTTGATTTCCTCAATAGCATCTTTCTCCTCATCCCACAGAACTGCGCAAAACGTAGAAAACAGCTTTGAAAAGTAACCAAAGGTGGGCCTGAGAAAAAGCGGGATTTTTTTTTTTAATTACTGAATCGTGGATTGTCAAGCAGACATGATGACTCTTCTCTCCCCGAGGGCGTTAAATGTCCTTCCAGTACTGCCCCTGTCCTTTTACTCCCGCTCTTTTCCCCCATAACCGCGTGGTCTCACTGGAAAGGCGAGCCATAGTTCCCAGAGTGCCTCGCGAGGCCACAAGCAACTACAATTCCCGGTGACCCCCGCGGTGGGGCGGTGTTGAGTCAGACCCACACAAGCCAGGCCAGGAAACTACAACTCCCGGGACGCTCCGGAGCAGGGCCGCTGGACTACGGGAAGCGGCAGGCAGAGGCCAGCAAGAGGCAACTCCGGGATCTTGGGTGCAAAAGCCCAAGGTTAGGAGCCGCAGGCATGCTGCGTCCCAAGGCTTTAACCCAGGTGCTAAGCCAAGCCAACACTGGAGGTGTCCAGAGCACCCTGTGAGTGCGGACTGAGGACCCCAGCGCGAGCACTGGAGTGGGGCGGCGCGCGGCTCTCCAAGGGAGGGGTAGGGTAGGATGTCCGGGAAGGGAGGAGGTGGCAGAAGGAGCAGGGCAACAGGCAGGGATGGCTCCTCTCGAAAAGAGAAACCGACGTGGTGGGTGCTCGGGGCATATCCCAGGACACCCTCAGCACAGACCCTTGCTTTCTGGAAGCGCCGGTGGCGGGAGTTGGGACGGAATCTCAGGCATTTTACTCCGATCTTGAGCATGTCACTATCCCTCTCCGTCCCTTGCCAGGCTGCTGAATAACGAGGGATCTCTGCTGGCCTACTCCGGTTACGGGGATACGGACGCCCGGGTTACCGCAGCCATCGCCAGTAACATCTGGGCCGCCTATGACCGGAACGGGAACCAAGCGTTTAATGAAGACAATCTCAAATTCATTCTCATGGACTGCATGGTATGGAGAGGAGAGCTACTTCCTCTGTCCTCGAAGGGGATTCTCAGGGGGCGACCCGGACCCCATCCTGGATGGTTGGAGGGGCAGGGACAGGATCTCTGGAAGATTACTAAGAGTTGGTCTGCAGCAGCATTTATAATAGGCAGGACCCTATGCATCAAGTGGTGGTGAGGGAGGAGCCCTGGACCCGAGGTCTGACTGGGGTTCTGGTCTCAGCCAGCCACTAACATTTGTGGAACCTTGGGTAAGTCACTTAACCTCTCTGAGCTTCCTTAGCACACCTCTAAGGGGGAAACAATACACACAGGGTTGTTGTGAAGATCAAATGAAAGAGTGGATATAAACCGTAGGATGATGTACAGACACAAAGTGTTGTCATCCCAGATTCACAGACTCAGGGAAGAATGGCACAGTCTCCAGACACTAGTCCAGTCCCTTCAGTTTACAGAGAAAGCAGATGAAGTCCAGAAAGGGGAAGTGGCCATTAGGCTGTGAACTTCTTGGAAACAGAAACTGTCTCACTCACCTTTGTATCTGTTCAGTCAACAAATTTTTAGGTCCCTGCAATGTTCTCGGGACTTGGAGAAAAGTAGCAAACAGGACAGACAAAAACTATTTATAATGAAACTTAGTCTTAGACATGCTTTAAAATAAGTAAAATATGTATGTTTTGTAAAATAAGTGTGTAAATATGTTTTACAAAATAAGTAAAATATGTATATAAGATAAAAAAGTAGTATGTTAGGTATTGAAAATGCTGTGGAGAAAAATAAAGCAAGGAAGTGAGATAGAGGGGGATGTGTGTCAGGGACAATCTCATTGCAAAGGTGACATTTCATCACAGATCTGAAGGAAGTTGGCAAGCCATGTGGCTGTCTGGAGGAAGAACGTTTCTGACAGAGAGAACAGCAGATGCAAAGGCCTTGAGGCAGAATGCTGCCTGGTCAAGGATCAACAAGGTTGATGTGGCTGGAGTGGCATCAGAGTGGCATGGGGAGGTTAGTAGGAGCAGAGTCCAGACAGGCAGAGAGTGTAGCACCTGGTTCCCAGCACTCGCTGGATACCTAGTGAAAATTTGCTGAACCAAATTAAAAAGGCCTCAACAGGGGCCGGCCCCGTGGCTTAGCGGTTAAGTGCACGTGCTCCGCTGCTGGCGGCTGGGGTTCGGATCCGAGCGCGCACCGAGGCACTGCTTGTTAAGCCATGCTGTGGCGGTGTCCCATATAAAGTGGAGGAAGACAGGCACAGATGTTAGCCCAGGGCCAGTCTTCCTCAGCAAAAAGAGGAGGATTGGCAGATGTTAGCTCAGGGCTGATCTTCCTTACAAAATAAATAAATAAATAAATAAATAAAAATAAAAAGGCCCCAAGAATGAACTCTCCAGAAAGGAATTCCACTGTAACTCAGCTGCCTACCTCATCCTTACCCCCTGTGCAACCAAGGATGTCATTTCAGTTCAACTGATGACTCCTCCTGGGTGCCTAGCTTAGAGCTGGTGCTTTAGAGCAATAGCTTTCAAAGGCTTTGATCACAACTGGGCCATAAGAAGTACATTTTAAGTCAGAGCCCAGTGCACACATATACCCACTAAAACAAAAGTTTCGCGAAAAAGGTCTCGGCTTACAACATGCAATGCACTTCATTTCTCTTCTTTTTTCTTTTAATGCTGATCACCTTCTTAATTGATCTCCTAACCCTGGGGTCAGACCTGCAGTTTGAAAAGCATTACCATGGGAAAAGAGGAGAAGCATAAGTTGGGTTACTGCTCTCAAGCCCCTTACATTGTTTTGGGGTCAACCCATAATAATAATCTCACCCATTTGGACAGCCCTTTGCAGATACAAGACTCCTTCATGTGTACTGGCACCCTCACCAGCTGGGGTGAGGTTGGGGTTACAGAAAGAGAAACGGAGTCCCTGGGAGATTGAGTTTCCCAGGGTAACTTGGTTAGTAGGTGCCTGTGCTGAGGCTGGAATTGGGGTTCAGGACCCCATGTCCAGGGCTGTGGCCAAAGCCCCACTGCTGAAGCTCCTGCGTGTGCCCAGGGCATGGGAGGAAGATAGAGTCTCTCTCAAGAGGAGCCCTTGGGGAAAGAGGGGGCTAAGGTGCCAAGCCGAACATCACATCCCATGATATCGTCCCCACCAGGAGGGCCGTGTAGCCATCACCCGAGTGGCCAACCTTCTGCTGTGTATGTATGCCAAGGAGACTGTTGGCTTCGGAATGCTCAAGGCCAAGGTGTGTACATGCCCATCCCTCCGCAATCCTGGGCCCAGCCTTTGTGCTCCATCACTGTCTGTTCCCATCCCCACCACCTTCCTGCAGGCCACCTGTCACCCAATCCATGTCTGGTGTGGGCTAACTCCCAGGAGCAAGCGGGGGTTGGGAGGGGGTGCTCAGCATTGGGTGTAGACCTGGATTTGGGATCCCTCTAGGGGCAGGCCATGTGTGGGACTGATTCTGCTCTCCCTTCTGCAGGCGCAGGCCTTGGTGCAGTACCTAGAGGATCCCCTCACCCAAGTAGCGGCATCATAGTGGGCGTTGGTGGAAGCTGGAGTCAGAAAAGAGAGATGACCACTGGGAGGGGCAGGGCCCCCTGGGGAAACCTTCCTGGACTGTGGAGGGAGGGTGGGACTTTGTTTTTTCCAAGAATAAACTTCAGCTCCTGTCTTGTGTCCTGGCTGCTTTCTTGAGTGGGAGCAATCAGAGGAGATAGAAAGGAGCAGGGATTTCTTATAGGATTCTTCATGTGCTGCAAGGATGGATTTCCACCCATTCCTTCACCAGGACCTCCAACAACCAAATGGTTTTGGGCAGTGATGCCTCACTCCCTTGGCCTCTCCCGTGGTGTGACCTCCCCTGGTCCCTGCCACTCAGAGCAGAATCTCACCCAGCTGATGGCAAAACCTTGGGTGTGAGCTCAGAGGTGCAAGGGGCTGGTGGAAGGTCATGTTGAACAAAGAGAATATAGGGCCCTGGGAATTCAGTGTCCTTCATCCTGATTTTGAGGTGTGGGGGAGCTTTTCTACTCTTGGGGTTGGGAGAGTGTCCCCTAGCTGCCTACAAGGGGCCACCCCTTTCCTCTTCTGCCAGGCATTCACGTGCTCACATAGACCTTCTCCAGATCTTGCAGCCCTTTGCAGACAGGATGGCTTTGTTGTGAGGCTTCAGGTCCTGGAGAGGGAGTAAAAGAAACCCAGAAGACCTCTCAGAGGGCTTCCCCTCCAGATTCTGCCCCTCCACTCAGACTCTTCACCCCATCTGGCTGTTTCGCCCCAGGTCTCCCGGTACCCAGTGTCCTTAAGAGCAGGTCTGGATGGGGAGCTACCCAGTGCTGTAGGAAGGGACCCATCCCAGAGAAGAGGTAGGTTGCAAATTCCAGCTCCACCCAGGGTGAGACATACTACCCGTCCCAGGCCCTGGGCTGTCAGGGAGGGGCAGAAGTTGCTGTATGGGAG